CAGGGAACTGTCCTTCTGGTGATGACTCTGTTTCACTAGGCCACTGACTGCCGTGTGGTGGGTGGAGGGGGACGTGGGGGGCTGAGGGGGGCCAGTGAGGGGCCCCTGCAGAGGTCTAGGGGCCTGGTGAGGTGTGGCCATGGGAAGCAAAGCAGGCTTGGGGAATGTCGGAGTCAGAGCTGGAAAGCATCCTGCCCAGTTCAGCAGGGCAGGTGTCCAGAGACAGCATTCGATGGTGGTGCTCTCGCTGAAGACAACCTTGGGGAAGGTCCGGGCTGTGAGGGGAGTGGACCAGGTGGGCTGGAGGCAGGTGAGAGTGCAGAAGGAACTGAGGAGGGGGCAGCATGAGCTGCTCGGGTCTACAGCTTGGAGGGCACGTGGGGGAGTCTGGATAGCGAGGGAAGACCTGGGAGAGTCGGCTGTGAGTAAAGCAGAGGATCCTGAGTAAGGAGCAGAGGATCGTGGGAGAGGGAGGGGGGAGAGGAGAGAAGCTGAGGCAGACAGAAGAGGAGGGAGTGTTGCCACCACCGGCAGGTGCCAGAGGGCACCTGGAGGAGAGAGGTGGAACATGACTGAGGGTCTAGTGAGGTGGAGGGGGTTTCACTGGTACCTTCCTAAGAGCTGGGTGTATGGGGAAGGGTGGCGATCAGACTGTGGAGGGTAGAGGAGGGAACATCAGCAGCTGTCAAGAGGGGTTGTGGGTTAGATCCTTCAAGGTCAAAGGAGGGCTTGCTCTGGAAGATTTTAAGTGAGTCAGACTGCCAGGAGGATGCAGGGAGGAGAAGACTGTGATGGGAGATAAAGGGGCAGGTAGGGCCACCAGCTCTGCCACTGTGGAAGTTGGGGCGGAGGGGCTGCTGTGACACCCGGGAGAACTGGACACTGACCCAATGGCTGGAAGGAGCCTAGGGGCCAGGTCCAATAGAGAGGAGAAGGGCTGGAGGCACCTCAGCCATCAGCGACCCCTGTCCTCACACCATAGTGGTCGTCCGGCAGAGCCTGTCTGGAAGGCTGGAGGGCCTGGCTAGGCAGAACCTCCTTGTGAGTACAAGCATTAGGTGGCTGGCATGCCCTTCCTTGTCTGCACAGCTCTCTGTGGGCTCTGTATGACAGCATCTCTCCTCCAGTTCTCCCCACTCACTGGGAGCCCTCTCTGGGGGCACTCAGTAGGCACAGGGGCAATGCCCTCCCTCAGCATTGTTCTGTCCCAGCTCCCTGGGGTCCTGAGGCTGTGGGGGGCACCCTGACAGCGGGCCAGAAAGGAAATGTCCCCCAGAGGATGCTCCGCGAGAGCTGCTCCAATCCAGGCCATTTCCCCAGGACGCCCACGTGTGTCCCCCACATTGCTCATCTTTGAGCCTCGGGAAGGGGTTGTTGTGGAAATGCCGGAGGAACCAGTCAGAGGTTCTGAGGAAGGAGAAAGGCTGGGCAGAGAGAAGAAGCCTGGGACTCAGGCTTACTCCCTGATGCCATCATGCAGTGGGACCCCAGCAGAGCCCTGCCCAACACTGGGCTTAGCCTGGGAAAATAGCCTTGTTCTCCCCTGTGGGGACCTGAGGGTATTTCTCCTAGAGGTGACATTGCAGTTCTCAGCAGTTGGCAATCCCCGTGCCCTCCGACCTCCGCCAGCACGGTCTATCACTGCCTGGGTGGAAGGGTGTGAGGGACACCAGGAGTCCCAAAGGGACAGGGAAAGAACCAAACGCTACCAGCCAGGCACCAGCTCCCTGCAGCCCCGACACCGGGACTCTTTGATCTACAGATTTCTTGTCTGAGGAAGTGATAGGAATGGGAAAAAAGTACAGGAATGCTTATCAGCTCTCTTATCAGCGCAGCGTGCACAGATGGGGAACGCCCAACCTTGGAGGGAGGCTGAGCAGCCTTCCCGGTAAACCACACCCGCAGTCTGGAGGCGGCTGGCGTGTGTTTGCCAAGCACTCTGGACGCAGGGTGGAGACAGGTCAGAATGTAACTGGATCCAGGCAGCATGAGCTCACCCGAGCCACAACACGGGCTGTGGTTTCTAATGAAGGGAATGGTGGCGGTGACTTTTATCTGGGAACTATCTCCCATTTTCCGAGCTTCTCGAGGAAGAACATTGCAGCAGGCAATGTGACAAGCATCATATCATTCGCAATAAGAAGGGCCCCAGCTCTGGGGGGGAACCCTCTAGACTCACCCAGGTTTGATGTCCAAAGGTGTGGGGAGGGATCTGGGGAAGCCCGCCTTCCCCACCAGCCAGTAGGTCTCCTCGAAGCCCTTCCCCTGCAAGAGAGAGCAGAGGGGCTAGAGGGTCCTTACTGGGCACAGGAAGCCAGGGCTGGGCGATTCCAACAGCCCAAGCAGTGGAGAGGCTGCGGCCAGGCTGCCGGGTTCAGATCCTGTCTCTGTCACTGATGGACTGTGTGGCTCCGGCCTAATCACTTCCCCTGCTTCCTCGGACTGTTCTTGTGAGGACCGGTGTCCCAAACCAAACTCTCTGCCATTGAGGCCACGCCCACTCGTCATGGCCCTCCCGGTGACACGTAGCCACCACGCCACTGGGATACCTGGATGATGGAGTTCCTATTTACCTGCGAGATAAATGAATCATGGATCCCACAACCAGAAGATCGGGGAGACTGAGATCCCACCACTCCGCGGTCTATGATTCTCTGCAGACAGCACTCTGCAGGGACCTGGTGGCCTGCCCTGGGATGGGATGGGAGCGCAGCCTTCCTGCGTGCATGACCAACACGGTCATGGGTAGTATGTGCACCGTGCTGCCCAGGCAGGTTGCCAGTAGAAGTGACTGCTTTGTCCCGGCCTTATCCTCAGGAGACCCAGTGGCCTAGTGGTTTATGCATCAGGCTGCTGACGGCAGGTTCAGTAGTTCAAAGCCACCAGGCACTCCATGGGAGGAAGACGAGGCTTTCCACTCCCTTCAAAGAGTGACAGACTTGGAAACCCACAGGGGCAGTTCTACCCTGTCCTACTGGGTCACTATGAATTAGCATCGGCTGGATGCAGTGAGTTTGCGTTTTGGGTTTGGGCCTCTCTCCTCACAAGGAGCCAAGTGAGGGAGTGGCTGGTTCCCAAGAAGCATTTCCTTAGGAAATGGGACTTAGGGGGGCAGAGCAGTCCCCATCCTCGGCTCCAGGCAGGCACTTCCTTCAGCCACGTCCATCCAACGAAAGCCTCTCCCACATAAACTGGACCCTTGGGGACTTTGCCCACTGATATAGTTTATTATGCCAGCCTGGCTGATAAATACAAGTAGGATTAACTGAAGGGCGGAGAGATAATGGCTCAGTGAGCCTCATCTTTCTTGTCTCTTGCTCTTTGATCAT